ATGTGCATAGGCTGTATATTAAACGACGAAATGGTGGACGAGGGTTAATAGAAATTGAGTCGGCTTTCAACTCTGCTATCACAAGTTTGAGCAACTATATCGCTCTTAACAGAGATAAATACTGTAAGGCAATAGCAACCCACGATGAAAAGAAGGCCAAATACTCTATTCAAAAAGAAGCTATCAATATCCTAGCCAAATTCTCTAAACAAGAAACAACTACACAAAATATTGAAAATTTAAAACATAGTATAGAACGAAATAAAATAGAGAGTTTAGAACAAAAGCGTTTGCATGGACAATTCTACCGAAATCTGAATAAACCGACAGTCGATCGGGAAGGAAGTACAGCATGGTTAAGAAGTTCGGGACTTAAAGGAGAAACAGAGAGTCTCATCATCGCCGCTCAGGAAGAATTAAGATCAGATATTACATCAGAAAAACATCCCAAAACAATCTATAGACAGCAAATGTAGAATGTGCAATAGAGCGAAGAACATATCAGCCATCTGGTAGCTAGATCTACACTTCTGTCTGGACAATCTATAGACATAATAAGGCTGCAGCATACATACATTGGATTATATGCAGAGAGTTAGGTGTACAGGTGCAGGACAAGTATTATGAACACGTTCCCGAGAAAGTTCTAAATATAAACGACACTGTAGTCCTATGGGATGTACCAATTATCAGAGACCGAACAATATTAACCAACAGGCTGGACCTGGTATTCCATGACAAGAAAAACAGTATCTGCCTCCTGATCGACATGTCTGTTCCAGACGACAACAACATATCAGCGAAAGAAGCAGAGAAGATCAGCAAGTATAAAGATCTTGAAATTGAAATCAGCAGAATGTGGAACACGAAGTCGAAAGTAGTCCCAGTAGTAGTTGGTGCACTGGGTATGCTTACTAAAGGTCATAGTAATTTCATCAAACTTATACCTGGCCACCCATCAACGAACGAAGTACAGAACATAGCTTTGCTGGGAACAGCACACATCCCGAAGGTGTTAGGTGAATTCTAGGTCTCTTTGGTGAGACTCCTCGGATTCACCCATTACTCATCAATTAAGAAGGCAAGAAGAGAATGGAAATGAAATAATAATAATAATTTTATGTACATGAATTTATGAAATGGGGTGGGGTATTTTAGTTGTTTGCTTGTCATTTTATACCCTGAGGTCGTCCCAAAATCCAGCATTTCCAGCATATCATCTATATTTCCACATATTTCATTCCTACTCTGAAAATATCTTCCCAGCTTAAGGATTTCTCGATGGGAAGGTCCCACATTTGTTAATCCAGACCAAAACTAAACCATAGCCGCGAGTCAATATGTATTGTCATGTCACTTTACATATAAATTTTGAAACCTTGCACTCGAATGCCTTTGGGTCAGTTCAGATGAGGAAGAAACTAAATTTGTAATCATAAAATTACTATTGAGTGTCTAGAGTAGCCGGGGCGAAAAAAAGGTTTGGATTTTTATCTTGTCACACTTTTAAAAGTGTGTGTGGATTTGATTAAACTTCTAAATTGCTTTTTTTGGTTTTATGAAAAAAATGAGTTTTGACCGCGCCCTCCTGAAATGTCAAAATATCAAACCTCAAAATTAATGGCCGCATAGTGTTAAAACTTATCCATTGTGCTTTAGAATGATCTTTAGAATTAAAAAATATATTTATCTTATTATTTACTTGTCTTTGTTTACCCAAAATTAATATATACAGTTTTCGTTTGGAAAAAGAAATGATTTAATGTAATAAATTAATTTATTTATAAACTTTATTCATCGCTTCTTTTCAAATTAGAACTTACCAAGGAGTACCGAGTTCCACCCCACGCCCCCTTCCTCCCTTTATACAAGTTTCGATCTATTAATCTGTTTTCGGTCTCCTTATAATTCGAAAAATACCCGCTTTCGTTTGGTTTCAAATTTGTAAAACTTCTTGCTCTAGTTTGACACGAATGTAGCTATCTCTTGATTCTTCAAATTACATAGATGCCTCTAGTCACTAATCACTCTACACAAGGCCTGGACCGCCCGAGTGTGACATGAAAATTTGATTGTTTATTTAATTACGAGTATTAAGGTTCTTGCTTTGAATTGGGTTCTCTAAATCGCGACCACTTATGTGCTTTGTCAGAGACGGCTCTGTGAAATTAAATTGGCTCCAAACTGATCAACTCTGTATATTCCTAGTCTCTGGAAATTCTATTTTGGGAACTTTTAAATACCCTCAGTTCAAGTGGTGTTTCTCTGTTTTCAAAATTCGTCTGATTCCGAGTGCTCTGATATGTATCTTCATCGGATATCATCGCTAGAAGAATGTTCTCAGTGGACAAAATAGCCATTTGTAGAAATTACCCGTTTGATGAAAGTTTTCCTCTATCAGGAAACTGGTTCTGATTTGTGTACCTAATTCGCTACAAATGCACAGAGCCATTCTGTGGAGCTGGCTTCAGGTCTTTATAGAAAACCAGACAGGAGCATAAACTTGTATGACAAACGTAGCCAGTAAACAAGGTTTCTGAAGGCGTCTGTGGAAATATATTAAAACGGTTTGCCGTAAACGGTTTGCCGTCATAGTTGCCATCTTGTACGCGACTCATCTTCCCGGATCTTTCTCAGATAAACTGTCAGGGCAGATTCCATCCGGACAGCAAAATACATATACGGTATAGAATTGTTGGTCTGTGCTAAGATCTTTTCATCGACATGACATATAAAGTTGTGCCCATTTTCTCTGAAAATTTACAACTGGTCTCGATTCACATGTTGCCAGCTTAGATCCAATAGGCCCAGGAATAAGAATAAGGTCCCTATGTGTCCGTCTGGTCTGCAAAGAGATGGCGCAGCAGTAGTTCGTTGGTGAAGTAAGCAAATCAACCATTGCAGGGGTCTTTAATATGAATTTCCAGCAGCCGTATAATACCACTCTTCCAACCAGTATTCAATAAGTTCGCACCGTCATATCCAAATGAACTGTTAGACATTTCAGGTCAATAGGATTTAGCTTCAATGAGTGATGTATATGATACTTTTTGATATATTCAAACCAGTACAAAGTATTCGCTTTGTATGGCCAAAAATAGGTGCCCTGGTTTCTTCAATTATCGGATATATGTTCCTGCTGTTTAGTAATACGACGTCCTTTAACAAGCATCATGGTCTGGTCTTTTCTTTCATCATTCTGGCTATTCATGCGGGCCATAAATACGATATATTTTACCTTTAGTGGGCGGTTAAAATTGAGAACCAATAAAAAATCTGGTTTATTTTTACTATTAAAAATCGTTTTTCGATATGACGTCAAAAAAATATTGAAATAAAAAAATTACCCCTTCGTCCCCATGGGCGCGGGCTAAAAACAGCATAATAAAACAATGCCTGGCTACGACCAGCAAATAAAATATTAGTTTCTCAGAAACCGGTTTTGATTATTTGTAGTGTTACACGTGAGTAGGTGAGTTCATTGTCTCTTTCGCCAAGTAATCCCCGACCTGTTATGTAGCCCCAGCACGAACGAAAGAAGTTTATCCTGAATATATTGAAGAGTACCTTAAAATCCTCCAGATCTTAGAAGGCTTATGCCACGAGCATTACATCGTACCAAAAACATTAACACCACTCCTTTAATTAGACATGTATCTGATAACATCTAAAACTATAATGGATACATATAAAGTACTACAAAATCGGTTTAATTTCATGTTGCTATTTTTGTGTTTGTAGTTGTTCTGAAAATTAACCATTTTTATTTGTGGTTTTAGTACACCTGTCTCTACAATTAATAATACATAATAGTAAGAAAATCGCTAATTGGTAATACAAGAAAAGGTACAAATTTGAATTCTGGTTGGCTTAACTTGAGAGTAATTATATTGATTTAACTTATTTTACCAACTTAACTTGCAGATCATCATGACTTGAGTCAAAAATATAGACTTAAGTAACAAAACGACTTATATGTTATATTGATTTATGTCAAAAACTTAAATCATTTTAAACTCTTTTATGTTGAATTTGATCTCTATGGACTTAAACTACTTTGATTTTAGGAAATGATTTGGGCACTAGGACCAGGGGCGGGAAAAGTTAGAAAATAGCAAAGTTGTGGTTCCAATTGCTCTAATGGAAACTTCAAATAAAATAAGTTCCATTCCAGCCACTAGGTGGTAGTGCAATTAATTTTTAAGTTAAGAAGTTGCTACTAGTTATTGCCAGATGGTGGTAAATCAGAATTTTTTTGTAGTTTCCATAGTTTCCAACGGCCATTGTCATATTATTGTCAAATTCTCAAAAAATATTGTCGTTGTCATAGCGCCAATCATAATATTATCAAATAAATGATTATCAAAACGTTTTCCAAACTATAATTTGTTCTATGAATTTGTTATATGTGTTTTAATTAGACAATTCCTTTTGTTTCTGGCCCTAAAAATATAATGTAAGTCTTTTATTTTTGCCATCATTTGAGTACCTATTTATACTTACTCCATTTACAAAACTTTGGGCGTATTACGTCGGTCTTGTTTTATTATAATAAACGATGTTAAATATTTGACTTAGGCGGATTTACCCACCTTAATTGCTATTCCTTAATTCTTATTTCTAACTGTAATTTGTAATTCCAATAATAATAATTCTTTATCCTTTATTTTTTTAGGAGACAGTTATCCAAATTTAACCATATTTTAATTCCCCAAAATTGACACTAACGACAGCTTTTACATTCTGTTCTGCCTGCAGTTTCCTTGAATAATATAGGATTTTATCGAGTAGTCATCACATCAGATCACATCAAATCGTTTTTACTTTTACAAGTTATTGTGTGCAGCGAGGACTTACAAGCAAAAAATTGCAGTAACTTTCTTGGGTTTTGTTTATAACCATGGTTTGCTGTGTCGCTATTTCCTGTGAATCTGCCACCGAGGTCAAGATTTGGGGTCTGGCCCCATGAATAGAAGAAGGGACATGTAAGGTAATTTGGAACTCTAATACGAGACATGCTTTCCTTGGAATGGGACGAACAACAGTTCACAAAATACACAAGAATGTCCAAAGATCAATTCTCGTATCTACATAAGTTGGTAAAACCATATTTAAAAAGGGATCCGAAAAAAAGACATGTGTCCTCAGAACAACGCCTTATAATGACCTTACAGTAAGTATCTTTGAATGTGACGTGTTTTTTATCTAGGTAACTTTAATCTAAAAATGTGTTCATATTTTAGCTATCTTTCTGAAGGATGCTCTATGCAAGAGATTGCATGGGGGTATCGAGTTGGCCTAAGTACAGCCAGAAATATAATCATAGACACCTGCAAAGTTCTGTGGGACACCCTAAATGAGTCCCAATTACCCGTGCCAAACACAGAAGACTTCATTCACATTTCTGAAACTTTTCTTAAGAAATGGAATATACCAAACTGCGTCGGTGCACTAGATGGCAAACACGTAGAACTTAGGGCCCCAAAGAACTCCGGAAGTGAATTTTTTAATTACAAAAAATCCTTCAGTGTTGTATTAATGGCAGTGTGCGATGCGAATATGAGGTTCACAATGATTGATGTTGGAGCATCAGGTTCAAACCATGATTCCATTGTTTTTAAAAATAGTGGCATGGGAATGGCACTTTTTAATGGGGATTTAAAAATTCCACCTCCAAAATCTCTGCCGAAGACAAATATTGTCCTTCCCTATTATTTAATAGCAGATGCTGGCTTTCCTCTTCACACTAACATTATTAGACCATACCCAGGAAGCCATCTTGGCGAAAAGAAAAATATTTGCAACTATCGCATTAGTAGGTAAGTAAGGGAATATTTATTTCAATTGGGTATATAAACCTAAAATTTTATTTTGCAGAGCCCGTAGAACCATAGAAAGTGCATTTGGGATTCTGAGTCAGCGATGGAGGATATTACGAAACAGAATTAATGCTTGCATCGAAGTTTGTGAACATATTATTCATGCCACCATCGTGTTACATAATTTTCTTCAACAAACAGAGGAAGATATCCCACCAGAAGATAGGCATTACTGTCCTACTGGGTTTTCAGACTGGATTGATTTGAAAGGTGATTTGCATGATGGTACATGGAGAGAAGAAGGGCAAGGTTTGAGATCAGTTGGGAGATTAGGTTCAAATAATGCCAGTAACTTGGCAAAAGATCAGAGAGACCTGTTGGCAGAATATTTTGTTTCCATCGAAGGTTGGGTCCCATGGCAAGAAAATTATGTAAATAGAGGTGGCTTGCCCACAGATTAATCCATCCATTTTCATTCAACTAGTCATTTTTTTTGCCTGGCGTCAAAATTGGAAATTAAAGGTGGGCAACGTCATCAAAGTGATATGAGACTAATTTAGCCTTTTGACCTTTTGTGATATTACTAGTGACTAGGGTCGAAAAATGTTTTTTAACTGCCTGGCATGTGCCAAATTTACTAGTAATTTAGTTGAGTAGTTTAGTAATTAACTGGTACCAAACTACTCGACTAAATTACACAAAACTTGACACCTGTCAAGCATTAACAAAAAAAAACAGACTTTTTAATTAAGGTTTTGAACTTAACTTTCAGTTAGTAAGTTTTGATAGAATAGGTATAGTGTTAAGTAGCTACATATTTACCTTCAAGAGGTATTATTTCTGGATTTAGACGACAATAAATAGATTGTTTATTTTCATACATTTTTTATTCACTGTTATTGAATAATTGCAATTTTCAAAATAAATGGACAAATAACGAACAAATAGTTTTATTATTTATCCTTGTGCTCATTAAATTATATCAATAAAATAACAAAAAAGTAAACTCTTGGGTGATAGTCCACACATCACCACTACCCACCTAAATATACTCGTATTGTAAATGATATGAGTTATATGGTTGGTTGAATTAAAATAACATTGGAGTTTTAATGTCTTACTCAGATATTAAGAGACATAATGAGAGAATATTCTTTTATTTCAACTGACCATCTAGCTCTTACCAGTAGAGGTGAATTGCCACCCCTACTTCTAATACAGCAAAAACATTTCCAAAATAAATTATATTAAAAAAATAAAAATATAAACTCTTGGGTGATAGTCTACACATCACCACTACCCACCTAAATATACTCGTATTGTAAATGATATGAGTTATATGGTTGGTTGAATTAAAATAACATTGGAGTTTTAATGTCTTACTCAGATATTAAGAGACATAATGAGAGAATATTCTTTTATTTCAACCGACCATCTAGCTCTTACCAGTAAGGGTGAATTGCCACCCCGTAATACAGTAAAAACATTTCCAAAATAAATTATATTAGAAAAATAACAAAAAAATAAACTCTTGGGTCCAAAAATAAACTCTTGGAAAGATAGTCCACGCATCACCACTGCCTACCTATAACCAGTAGGGGTTAATTGCCTCTCTGTAATACAGCGTTAGCGTGGTTTTTCTTGCTAAATGAAAAGAATTTATTTTCAATTTTCCGAAAAGTTACTCTTCAAAAAATGTTTGCTTGTTTAAAATTACAAATTGCTTAGGAAAAAATCTGTTTTTATACAAGGTTGTCAAAAAATTCAAATTCTTCTTGATATCTGGGATTCTGACTTAGCAAGAGATTATCAATAATTTGTTCTTATAATTATTTTCCTCAAAAAGTAAAAATAAGGGTATTACTTTTGATAAAAGGCAAAATTTTGAATTTTTGAGAACCCTGTATAAAAAACAGATAGTTTTTCTATGCAATTCGTATTTTTTATACAAGCAAAAATTTTTATGAAGAGTAAATTTTTTTTTGAAAAATTGAAAATAAAAGTTTGCCATTTGACAAGAAAACCCATGCGCACACTGTATAACACTACTAAAGCCTAAATTTTTCTTGAAATATGGGTTTTTTGGAGAAAGAAAAAAATTTTAAAGACCAAGTTTTTCTACCTCATTCGCGAGTTGTTCTAGAAAATTAGATTGGAGTCGCAATTTTATGACATCAGGTAATTTTTCCATATACACCATCATAGCTAACAGAAAATGATAATTGGCCTTATTTTCCGGCAAATTGTTGACTGTGTTCTTATCAACTGAGTCTTTAACAATAGTTTCAATATTCTGACCTATTTGCACACACGTTGAGACTAAAGAATCAATAGAATCATTTTTCCTTTTCTTGAATTCATTTTTTTCAATGTTTTTTTTAAGTCTTAGATTTTGAATGTTTTGATTTACTGAAGCAGTTCGAGGTTTAATTAGTTTTGCAGGATTCTCACTATGCAGAGATGTTGCTTCTGACTCAGTGTTCGAGGTTTCGTCTTCAACTTCCATAGGACTCTCACTTATTGGAGTTGAAGAGAGAATTTCACTTTCACCTTCTACTCTTTGGCCATCAATTAGAACAATGGCTTCTGACCAAGACTGCGTTTCAGATTCCTGAGAAACATTGGATGGTTTTATATTACCTCTTGTCCTAAAAACAAATTAGTGTTAAACTATTTAAAAAAATGGTAGTATCATCATGAAGACCTGTAGACAAAGTTAACTAGATGGGAAACACTATACCTAAAATCAAAACAGAAACTGAACTTACATTCTGCTTTGTGTGACTTTCTCCAAAAAACCCAAACGTTCAAAAAGAACCTAGGCTGCTTTAGTAGCACCAGACCCGGAGGGTACTTTTTTAATAAGCCTTCTTTCTCTTATATATTTCAATCGAAGGTACTCCCATGCTTCTTTACATTCTTTTACTAAAAATAAAGGTAATAATGAGGGTAATGCCTAACATCATTTGTATGACATTATTATGATGACGGTAATGGAGTTTTTTGTTAAGGCAACCCAAACAAACAACAATTCTCAAACAACAAAGCTTCTGTGTTCATTCGGCAAAAATTTTTGTTGTAAAAACATTTACAAAATTGAAATATTGCTGCTGAACCGAACATGGAAATTTTGTAGTTGGAAATTCGTTTGACCTTCACTCACTCAGTGAGTACACATGGCCTTTATACCTTCTGGAATTCAGTGAGCTTTTTACTTACCGGATTTTTCCATAATGGAGGAAATTGTCTCCCATGAATTTTCTGCTGCTAATGTATCTTTGTATATCTTGTGTTTTTTGTCCCACAAGTTGGGGAATTTTTCGAGCAGGTCTATAAGAGTGCATTGCTCTTCCAGATCCATATTTATTGATTGCTAGATGATTTTAACGATTTTAACATTCCTAACCGTCCCACCTCCCGCCAACGAAATCGAGTGTCAGCCACAGAACAGAATAAAAGTGTCAGCTGCCAAGTCAAAAATTGACATTTCAAAATTTCACGCGTGCGCATCTACACGTTTTCCTTAATCGCTAATTTGTAATCGCTAAAAAGTTAAAAGTTGGGAACTTTCAAAATAAAGAATTACGAACGGTGGTTAAGAATTAAGGATTAAGAAATTGTATAACTAAACTAACTGCGTAACACGTATTTTATCTTTTTATAATTTAGCGAATAAGAAATAAGAATTAAGGAATAGCAATTAAGGAATTGGGTAAATCCGCCCTTATAAATGAAAACTTTAAATAATAAATAATATTTCACATATTTTATTTTTAATGTTTTTCTTTAAAAAGATTACACACACAAAACAAGGCAACGCCGCGCGTCTATTCGTTCAATTCCGAGCAAAATAGCGAGGCTCCACGAAGTTGGGGCCTCGCTCGCCAAAGCGAGGCCCCATCGACAGGTCAGATTTTGATGCGAGACGAGACTTCTAGGGTATTAAGATATTCTTTGCTAGCAGCCAACTGTCGGTAAAGATCAAACAACATCGAGCAACTGGAGCGGGCGCGGCGACCAGTCCTCTTTTAGTCGTACAGCGAAATTTCTATAGAGGCAAGCGTTATTTATTTCCTTTAAACAATGGACGGGGAAGAAAAAAACGAAAAAAACATAGAACCGGAATGGAGTGATAAGAAAGTCATATTATTGATTGAGCTTTACCATAAAGAGGACAATTTATGGAATCCGAAAAATGAATTATAGAAAAATAGAAATAAGGCGGCATGATTCACTGATGTCAAAATCAGACGCGTTGCATATTGAAAAATCAGAAATTGAACGTAAAATAAAAAATATTACTAGTCAGTTCTACAAAGAAAAGAAAAAAGTCGAAACTAAAAAATCTCAAGAAGTCTCAAATCTCAAGAGTCTCAAGAAGTTTATAAGCTAAAATAGTTTACTTATCAGTATTTGTTATTTTTAAGTGATAAAAATAAACCACGGGAAAGTATTGATAATTTTCAGATAAGTAAAACTATTAATTTATTTCATAAAAATCTATTATCTACTTTTTGAAAGATACAATGCATATATAGGGTGTTTCAAACTAATAAAAAAAATAGGTAAGGAATGATTCAATCTCTTCGTAAAAATAAAGGATAGTTTGTTATACAGGGTGGTCCGAACTGTATTCCGGAAACTTCGGCAGTATATTCTGCAGATAAAAATAACTAAAAAAGTTTGGTAAATGTATGTCCTAAAATGCTTAGTTTCGGAAATACTGGGTGTAGAAGTTTCATTTTTATTTAGACTTTTACCAAATAATTTTTGAATTAACGACAATAATTGGATGAAAATTGGTGTCTGGAAGGTTTTTGACATGAGAAATTTGATTTTGATGTCAATATGACCTCTATTTGTAAGGGGCGCCACCTACATGTGTTAACGCCCGTTATATAAAAAACATGATAAATTTATATTTTTTTACTCAGTAATTTTATACAGGTACGGACGAAAAGTTACTGCTTTTCAACCCAGTTAAAAAAATATGTAGGTGGCGCCCTCTACAAGTAGGAGTCATATTGACATTAAAATCAAATTTCTCATGTCAAAAAACTCCCAGACACCATTTTCATGTCAATATTGACGTTACTTCAGAATTTTTTTGGAAAAAATCGAAATAAAAATGAAACTTCTACATTCTGTATCTCCCAAACTAAGCATTTTAGGACATATGTACATTTATACGAACTTTTTTACTTATTTTTATCTGCACAATATGCTGCCGAAGTTTCCGGAATACAATTCGGACCACCCTGTATAAACGTTGGGTATGTGATGAATTTTTCACTAATGGTAGCGTGACCTTGACTAAAAAAATTGGTAGCTTAATATTTATTTAAATATTAATGAGCGGGGCACTTGGATATTGAGAGCAACGAATCTTCGTGGCGTTCTTGTAAATTATTACATTAAATTACCAAGATAAAACTTAATCAATAATACGTAATAAGCCTCTCATCGTGGATCCTCCTGTAAAGTTAGTAATCAACTTCTACTAGGACTTACCAACAATGTCTTAATCTGGTCAGCAGGAACTTGTGGACTTGTGGCTCTGTGCTGTCAATGCTTCGGTACTTCTCTCTTGCATAAACGATCGACGGACCCTTCTCAGTATTCTTTTAAATTTTAGGTTTAAGGTGTTGAAGTAGAAATAAAATGCTGATTTTACACAACACCTACTTTATTACAATACTAAGAAATTAAATAGCGAAAATAAAAGAAAGACAAAAAAATATAAATAACAACTATTTAAAAGTAAAAAGAAAATTAAGCGTTTAAAACAATGAACCTAAAATTATAATAAGATAATATCTAATTCAATCAGAAACTAACTTATTAGAAAGAAAATTAATATAATTAAAATTTAAGAAAAGAGAAAAAAATAAGAAATCAAATTTAAATTAGGATTTAATTTAAAGAAAGAAATAAAAATTTACTAAACTGATAATCAAAAAATATATGTTAATAAAGAAACTTAGTATTTTAAATTTAAGAACTTCAGAAAATCAAAGACTATTAAAATAAAAAAAAAATATACCAAGAAATACTGAGATTCACCACGAAGCCGAACACGTCAAACTACTTAAAAGACAGAAGTGAACTGATTTAGAAAATTATTTTTTCTAACACTTGTTTCATCCAGGATAAGTGGGGTAAGTTTGTAGGCTCCACCCATGGTTTTGGTTCCTCGTATCATCATCAGGCACCCACTTTTGCGGTACCCTCTGATTGGCCGAGGAGGTTCCAACCCCCTAGTGTTTTAGGCTCAACTCACACCATATAACCTAGATGGCACTAGTAATGTTAATTTTAGCTATTAAATTCAATTATCATAAATATCTACGTAAATCTCATTATTTCCTGAATTTACCCTATCATTGTTTAACTATATTCTTACCTAACACAAATTGAGGATTACTCTTAAAAAAAAACCCTACCAAATCACAATTCTAATTTATATTCATTATATTTCAGTGTATTTATTTCTCATAATTTCGGACCTGCATAGGATAAAAAAAAGGAGAGCAATCCTTCAGGATAACGTTACGTGAACCTTGTTCATTTAGTTATTTAACTTATTTATATCAAAACGTTTGATTCGACCAGGGTGGACTAGTGGTCGGTTTATCGAACATGTGGCATGGGACATGGATATTAAAAATAGTTGGTGTCGCGTTGTATAGAGGCTTCTCTATAAGGGTCTGTTTATTTAGTCTGGCTAGAGCTTAGTTCTTACGACTTTGTTGATTTCAATTAAAGATTTCTTCGTTCCCATCCATTCTATAAGGCAATTCATTAATTTTATGATCGTGAGATTTAAGTCGAAAAGAAAAATATTTAGTTTTTCCCAGAGAAAAAGAAGGGTCCCTCAGACTAAACAGATTTTACGACTTTCCTAGAAAATTATCTTGTTAAGGGCGGAAACACGTGTAGACCCCCAAACAAGATAGGCTTATTTTCTACGCTGTAAAATAAACTGTTACAGGTACAAGCGCGGTTTTAGGGGAGGGTTAATGGGGATAATTAGACCCCCCCTCCCCCCAAGACCGATCAAACTTCAAAAAATAAGTTTTAATACGTAAAAAGCAGTTTTTTGCGTGAAACAAATAGTTTTTTACTCGTAAAACATAGTTTTTATGTGTAACAAATAGTTTTACACGCAAACATGTTTTTTACACGCAAACAAAATAATTTTTAAAAAACAATTTTTTACGCGTAAAAAATATATTTTTTTATTTATTACTTTTTCAACATTTTAAACTACACTTTTTCAAACATGTCCTCCAAATTCTCCAAACGTTTCACTTCAAATATACGCACGTAGTGAACAAACATTTTTTTATTTAAAATTACTCCCCCCCTCTTGTTTTTTTTTCAAAAACCGCTCTTGGTTGGGTAAAAACTCAAGTCATATTGGAGTACAAAGACGCCTCAAACTTTTTAATTTTTATCTTAACCACAAAAAATCATAGAATTAATAAAATATGTAGGACAATTACATACATATACATACATACAAGGACAATTATAGTTTATCTGAAGTCAGTTGAAATAGATTGGGACTCTTAATTTCGGCACTGTCTTTGTCGGCTCCTTTGCCGGCATCATCGGGACAAAGGAATTAAGAGTCTCAGTAGTTCTAGTTGACATCGGAAATACTATACTACTATGAAAGCACACTATCTGCATATATTTTTTACTTTTTTAAAATGGTGACTGGGGATGAAAGATGAAATTGTCTGCCCTTTTATTCCTCTTTGTGTAAATTGACTTATGAAACTTACACAACTATATAAAATACTCGTAATAAAACAAAATAAAGAAACTTGCCGATTTGAAATTAAAATATTAACAAAAATTATTTATAATTATTAAATGTAAATAATTACATGTTGTTACAAATATTTTAGAATTAATTTAATAAAAATAATACTCTTTACTTCATATCTTGAAAACGATTTTTTTCATAGTTTGTAAATTAACACAGAAAAGAAGGTTAGTTCAAAATTCTGTTTAGGTCATGCATATTTACTATATTTTTTAAAAATGTTTCTAAGAAAATTTAACATTGGTGGAAAATATTACTATTTCAGAGCAGCTAAACTAACATTTAATTTTTAAAATAATTTTTTTTTGTTGCGATACGTTTATTTAATATATTTTTATATTTTATTTTTTAATTTCAATTTGGTAAGTTTTTGAAAAAGAAGTAGGAGGTGAGAAAAAGTGTGTTTTAAAGCATCCTGTATAATCTACCTAGTACAAAAGGGCACAGAAATATAAACTTTGATGTCCTGTGACATCGGAACATCAGATTTTTCGCAAGATATACCGGGTGTTTCTCAAAAGTGGCTCACATCTATAACTTTTTATTTTTTCAGATAAATAAACGAGATTTAGTACGTTAGTATATGACATAA